GTGTGTGTGTGTGTGTGTGTGTGTGTGTGTGTGTGTGTGTGTGTGTGTGTGTGTGTGTGTGTGTGTGTGTGTGTGTGTGTGTGTGTGTGTCTGTGTGACCTGAAGCGATCACATTATCTTCCGACCCAACACTGCTCCCAGTGTGTGTTTTATTGATTTGAAACCACGATTTTCTAAAGAGCAGTGACGCACATCTTCACTTTAATCCAGATTATGCTGAAATGAGAATCCTGTTGCTTCTTCATACAAAAATATGTTTTTCTTACATGGGACATGTTTGATGACTTCTGTTATTTTGGCACTGATAATGGAAACCATGTTGCTATATATATTATATACTTTTAAATTCAGCACACAATGTGGGATTTTGTTTGCATGCATTGAATTGATTGGATGAGCAGCTGCGCTCAGCATCAGCATCAATCATCCTGTGTCGTTCAACGAGTGAGAGAGAGTGCATTGCTGTTGTTGAATCTGCAGACGTTTGCTGTCAGGGTTATATAATCAGCTTCTCGTCAGACAGTCGTTAAAGGGGAGTGTGGTCCACCTGAGGCAGCAGAATGACTTTTAGCCTCGGTTTGTTGGGTCCCGTTGGCCTGCAGTTCTGTCAGGAGGCGTTAGAAAGATCCGCCTCATTGAACTAAATGAGGTGATGAAACAGCTGCAGACAAAAACACTGACCCAGGTTAGAAAAATGGTTTGTGTTTCTGCTCCAATGAAAACTCAAAAGGGTTCGAAAATGGAAAACTGCTGCTGGGTACGTTTTGCTTGTTTCACCTTTTCTGTTTCTGTCATGTCTTTTGCCAGAGCGAACATGTTGTAGTCCAAGTTGGCTTTTTATTCAGACAATATGTTATGAGACCAGGTTGGTTATGAATCGACTTTTTGTTCTTTTGAACAAGCGCTTTTAGGAAGAATTCAAACATTTGACATCATTGTTTTTGTTAGTTCAAAACTTCATTGTATTCTTGGATTCGTGGACATCATTTTCACTGAGGAGAATCGGAGCAAGAACAACGGATGGATGTTCAAACACATGGAGATCTATTAGATCCCCGTGTTTTTTCTTCCCCAAAGTATTGAACTGAGTCAGTGAGTTTATTCAACGCTTTGAACATGTCGAATGTCTTAACCTGCTCCAAATGGATCGTTTAGACATTCTTTAACGTGTTCTCTCTTTGAAAAATAGGAACAATTTGTCTGTCATCAGTTGCATATTTAACAGTGAGAGAAACAGTGATGAATTCAGGCTTGGCTGCTGAGCTAAAGACTTATCCAAGCAGGGTCAAAACTTTAATGGCCTGCTGCACTCTCTAATCAAAAATATATCACAGTGATTCATGCGAACAAGGTTTTACAAATGTTTGCAGGACTATTGCGATTTTGCAACATGCTGTTATCCCGGCAAAACTATTTTCTCTTCCAAATAACTATAGAATTATTTATAAATAACAAATAATGAGATTGGTTTAAAAATTACAATAATAATATTTGAATTTTATACATTTTTGAGTCTGGAGTTGCTTTATGAAGGCAGCAATTCACTTTGGTTTTTTGCTCTAACAAGCCATTAGCTTGTTATTTTGATCAGAATTAAACTCTATTTCTCCATCTTGAGTATATTCAAGGATATGCAACAGGTAAGATATTTATTGCTCACAACCATTCTACAGAATACCACTTTAAATGATCTGAACACTTTAAGTCGAAGCAGCTCCCCAGCAGTTCCAACACTCTCCACTGTCATGTGAGTATATTGTAATAGCAACAGCCTCGGATGCAAACCTAAACAAATCATATGATCAGAGTCTTTAAATTCATAAAGATTATGGTGACTTGGTTTAGTTTTTTCTCATTGTTTTTTGAAAAAAAAAAAAGCTCTTTCACACAGTTTCTCTGTGTTTTTGGAGCAGTCCTCGCTCTCTTTGATTCCCTTATTCTGCTGCCCTCATACTCATATTGCTGTGTAATCCTCTCAAAAAGCCCGTATGAAAAACTTCATTGGTTGACCAGACATAATCCTCAGTGAACTCTAAGTACCTGAATATGTTTGATTGTAAGAGAGGGAAAGCGGATGAAAAAAAAAGAAAAAAGAAAAAGCTAACCGCGGTTTCCTGCCAGACATTTGGACTCAAAGTATAACATAATCCAGCTGTCATGTCATGTACATTTTAAGCCTGTGTGCTTTAAATAAATAATCTCTGAACATCATCTATGATGACACATTGATATTAGCTCCTAATATAGTTATATAGTTATACTAATATAGATATTCTCTTTTAATTTTTTTAAATAGTTCTTAATCATTTAGAATAGTTTAATCATGCTGTGTATACCTTAACATGTGCAAATAAAAATTTAATAAAAACCTAAAAACACATTGAGTTATCCGTAGCTGTAATAACAGTTCTGCCGTCTTGTTTTTTGGGATAGGTTGCGCTCACTTTAAATGTGGTTTGATGATGAATTAGTTTTTGTAAAAATTTCTTGCATAATGTTCTTTGAATCCACAAAAACCCACTGGCAGTCGATCACAGCCTGCAGCCTGTTCAGGGTGTGGGGGTCAAAGGAACTCTTCCCACCATCTGACAGCTCCACATGTTCATCTTTGTCTGAAGACCCCCCTGGGGTTTGTGCATTGATCATAAGCAAAATGACGTGTTCAGAGCTTGCAGCGACATTTTCCCTGAATGCCTTTTTCTTCATTTTAATATACAAGAATTTCTGATACAAATTAGCTGGAATAAAGGAGAAAACTGATGCAATAGATTGCTCACAGCATATGTGACATTAGTGAGTAATTATGCAACGCCTCTCTCCAAAGACAGGCTGTCATCAATTAATCTGCTTAGAAAGTCCAACTGTGTGTTGCAACCAATGTAGGAAAAAGAATGAAAAAGCAAAAGAGGGAGATGAAACAAACAACAAAAGTCAGACATCTTGTTGTAAAGTTGTTATGGGTGCACGACACATATAAAAGGATGGTGAACCCTTTTTATTTATTGTTTTTTTTGACCATCTCTCTGCAAATTATTGGTTTTATACAGTATATAACACGGGAATCTTGTAAAGGTGTGTTTATTATGTTGAACCATAAAAAACTTATTTTTGCTGCAGTTCTTTAAAAACAGATTTTCCAGTTTGCAAAATGTATAACATTAAACCAAAACAAAATTTTTTGCATGTTTTTAATGGAGGGTTTAACCTTTCAGAGTTGAGATTAAAAATAAAAAATCTGCTTCAGCAGGTGGGTAGTGAAGGTGCGATGGATAAGTATCACAGTTTGAGTAGAAAAAATACACAGAATGTAATGTTTTCATATTTGCGCTGCTTTATTAATGTTTAACACACAATTATTTTTGTTTTTGAAACACTAAAAATACAAAACTCACTGGACATATAATTACATAAAACATTATTATTGTTAACCTAACAGTAAAATCATATACAGTATATTAAGGGAATATTTCACAGGATTAAAAATACGAATCACTTTAGCTGTGATAATTTGGGTTAACATTAGTTTGTGCTGTTTGGGATTTACTGTGTGTGACGAGTCACGTGTGCAACACAAAGCAGACATTTAACATCAACGGCTCTTGCAATAAAGCAAATCAGTTTAGAAACACATACATTCCTTATTACATCTTATACAGTATACTATATAAAAATGGACTACTTGACTTTTAAAACCTTTTGTATTAAATGCAAAAAAAGTCGAAACCCTCTGTTCTCAAAGTCAGGCATTTATGCAAGGTTTGTTTTGATATGAAAACAGTCACATAATGGATGTTTAAATTGCAGAATGAATCTCAGAACAACAAGACACAGTCCAAAAGATGAATCTTCTCTGTTCAGGTAAATAAACAGTTCTGATTCGTTTATCCTGATCCTAATCTACAGCTGCTGACTAATCTCCAACCTGTCATTTTGAACTGTGTGCTGAAGAAAAGCCCTATTGTTTAGAGGATTACTGCAGATTTACTCTGGATGCAGAAAGCAGGATGGGCTATCTGTGGTTTGTGCACTTTCAGGTCCCTGCCCCTCAGGTCTACTGACATCATGCCAAAACACAGTCAGCTAGATAAAATAAAAGATATTTGTGGTATTTTCTCTTTAACCACAGGCAACATCCGATGGGAAAAAAAGTCATACAAACAGGCTAAAAATGAGAAACTGAATTATGGAGCTCTATTTTGTTTAAATAGAGACGTACATGGTTCAACAATAAATACAATGAGCTTGAAATGAATACAAAACATGATATTGAAACTGGACAGACAAAAAGACCACATCTACTGTTATACTGTGCATCATATAATACAACAGAATCACACTGGTCTTCAATCTAAACTCATTAAGCCCATTTTTGGTAGCATGACAACAACATGTCCCAACGTTGCTTCATAATGTCCCCATATTCTTCAAACTCAGCTGTGAAGGAAACGAGAAAACAGATGTACACAAGAGGTTCTTACTGCTCGAGACACAGCACACGTACACACGCTCACACAGACAGATACAGCAACTTTGTTTATTTGGACTTATTATCAGTTGGAGGCACATCAATCCTCTCCCCGGTAACAAGCTGCCAAATGCCTCCCCTGTAGTTCTCATTTCCCAAAGCATACAGGAGGGGATTGAAGGTGGGAGATGTCTTCGCCAGGATGGGAGCGATCTGCACAAACAGGCACAAACATTTCAGGGTTATTTTGCGCAGCTTTGCAAAATAGGGAGAAAAAAAAGTTTAGAGCTATATTGCATGTTGTATACTAAAATGCAGTGAAGTTATATATAAAGAGTTTTTGTGAAAGATTATGCTGCTTGTCCATTACCATCCGGAGTTTAGGCGAGACCAGGGTGGCGTTCTCCACAGCAGCGTAGAACGCCAGGATGCCGTAGGGACCCCAGCAGAACAACAAAGCTTTTAGAGGAGTGTTGGGGTTGAACTGCAGAGCCAAAAGGAAAAAAAAGAGGTGAGAAAATGTGTGTGTGTGTCCTTGTTTTTCCTACATCATGGGGCCCAGTTTTAAGGAAAACGCAGCCTTGTGGGTTCTGGGTGCTCCGCTTTGGGCCCCACAACTTCAGAGGCTGATTTTGGGTGTGAGGGTTGGGTTTAGGACCAAGGTATGAATTGAGTTTAGGTTAGTTTTAGGGTCAGGTAAGGTACCTGTGAGGTTAGCTTTAGGGTTTGTGGTCAGGGTTAGGATGTAAAATTACCAAAAAATGAATGGAAGTCAATGGACGGGCCCCACAAGGATATAAAAACAAGTTTGTGTGTATGTGTATGTGTATGTGTTTGTGTGTGTGTGTGTGTGTGTGTGTGTG